GATGGAGACGAATAAGGAGTCGAGAAGGGAAGAAAGGAATCAAGAAACGAGAGATGAGAGTTATTCCTTCGAGAATAGTTTCTTTTTTTTTGCATCGATCGAATTACGGGACACGTTCTCAAGCCGTAATTTGTACACAGGATACATTTCCCATTAAAGAGCTGACCATCCTAAGCACGTACAATGCATGCGATCTTTTACAAATATTTCTTATAGGCAGTCGGGTAAAGAAAACGTTCGATGATAAAAAAAAATTGCCGAGTTTACGCACAATGCGCCATTGGCTGTAAGAATAATCCGCGCGTTTTGCGCTAACATTGGCGTTTACTTCCATTTTACCGATCGTGGCTTTCGGAATGTTAATGACCCCCTATGACATTTTCTTCGCATATTGTATGGTCACCTCATGAAGTGTCACCCGATTGTCTCAAGTAAATATCAAAAATCTTTTGAGTCGAGCATTTGTTCGCATTCGATACATGGGAAAAGACTGATGTCATCTCTTCCTTCTCACAATTTTCTCCGAACTCCCTCTTATTTGTTCAGGATTGAGTATACCATGTCTAGAAAGTTGGCTTGACCGTTATACCATTTTTTCTTATCTTTCAACGACAATAAAATAGAAAAGGTTAGGTTAGTTGGTGATTAATCAACAAGACATCCATTTTCTTTCTAATCTTTGTGATACAATTGGCGTGGACAAAAAAAAAAAGAATTTCGCATGTAGTCTGATTGACCGATTACGTATTCTGTGAAAAAGAAAGAATGTAAGCAAATAAAATTTACGAATTCTATTTTTACGTACACCTAAAGAAGTTTGGGTTACGCCCGATCTTATGTCTCCTATGATAAATTTCAAGGTGCGACGCGAATGAAGTGAATGTTGTGTTATAAATAATGGATTGGGTTATTTAAACTGCTACGCACACAATACCGGCAGAGTTGTCCTGTCAAATCCAGAAAGGAATCACATTGCGTATACCGTATTTTTATGGCAAAACATGAATAATTAAGGGAAACGCATTTGTAACATTATTATTCCCTAACATGATGCAACTTATGTCCTGATGGAGCTAACCATAACCGCCCGGATCAATTGATTAGTTGGTTCGATCAACGATTAACGATGCAGTGAAATTTTTTTTTTTTATTTGGTCAACATTCGATTCGAATAGTATTCTTGGCAAGAAGGAAATTCCTGTCCGAAAATTACATCACCTCCCAGTTTCTTCATACAATACATACATTAATTGTTTTTGCAACCTCGGAAGGAAAATTATTGGTATGGTCAGCGTACATCAAACATTTAGTCAGCTCATAAATGTGACATTGTTAGGGTTGAACGGTCGATTATTAAGGCCCCTGTCGGAGACCGAGCGATTTGCATTCACGATTATCACAGGTTTTTACTCAATATATGCGCAAAATGTTAGTGAAAATATAAATCGTGTCAGAATTTATTGCACTTTGTGCATTAATATCCGAGTCAAACTGTCATGGATCTTGCTAGAAAATTGTATAAATGAGTGTGTTTCCCTGTTGGCTAATTGGTCGTTTGCAATCCACGGTCGATTCTTCCTACAACTCCTTCTCCATTACAACAACGCTAACCATCCAAATTCTGTATACAATTTTTACCTTGCATGTGTCCACCACTCATCTTTGGTAGAATAGATAAAGTAAACTACTCGTGCAATTCAATATCCCCCCTTCAACCCCCCCCCCCATTCCACCATACCACTGTATATATAAAGTTCTGTTGACCGGAAATTCACTCAAGGGACAAAGGATTCACGTTGAAACAAAAGGAAGAGGAACAAACCCTTTGCCAAGATTTTTTTATACACATTTTCTCATTTCACTTTAAATATACAAGTCCTTTGCATAGGAAATATTACTACTAGATTTGGCATTGGTATAGAGATTGGTTTCTTTTCTTTTTCATAAAAGTCAATAATTTCTTCCCTCATCAGCAATAGAGCATTAAAAAACTTCAAAGTCGACATTAGAGTTCCCTTTCATCTTTCAAAAAAGAAAATGTACATAACGTCTGTGAAGTTAATATCGGCCGTCATACTGGCAACCGTCACAGCAACGATTTCAGTTGTTCAGGCTCAAACGTTGCCGTCAAATCAGGCGGTGCCAGGAAATTGGCCAGTTCCCGACATGCCGCCGCCACCGGTTGCCTCTTGGACGGCGTTGGTGGATCAGACGAAGTTGCCAAATGCAGCGGTCAAAACCATTCCTTACACTTGCGACGCTGGTGATCCGTGGTGTTCGTGGTCTTGTACTACCTGCACTCGGCCAGAAATCGACATCACGTACTGCCCTAACAAGACAGGTATTTATCGCGAGAGACTGGGTGATAAAATGTAAAGTGAAATTCATGCTAACGTATTCCCAACCTCATTCGCGTAGATTGGGCCTTGACATATGATGACGGTCCTGGGTAATATATTCTTTCGTAGTAAACGTACAAGTGAATGAATCATTTCATTCTTGGACTTTCCTCACCTTTCTTTTTTTTCAATTTACTAATCTAGGCCGAATACGCTAAAGGTACTCTCTGCATTGGAATCGAAAGGTGTTAAGGCAACATTCTTCGTGGTGGGCTCCAGAGTTCTTCAACATCCAGATATTCTCAAGCAAACAGTGGCAGCCGGTAGGTTTTCTTCGCGTACGTATCCCCTGACCATGTGAATCAAATTATTAATGATGTTGTGATAAAATAATAGGACATCAAATTGGAGTGCACACGTGGTCGCACACCTTACTCACAACTCAGACCAACGAAGAAATCATTGCAGAAATCAAATGGACGGAAACCATCATAAAAAACGTGACCGGCCTTACACCGAAATTGATGAGACCGCCAGGAGGTGATATGGACGATCGAGTTCGCGGAATCATGAGCCAACTCGGTTACAAAGTTGCCATTTGGAATCACGACACCTTCGATTGGGAATCAAATTTGAATCCGAAATTCAATTTGGATTGGATCACAAATAACTTCTCCATATGGGTTCATAATATCTCCAACACTGGATCAATCTCCTTGGAGCACGATCTGTTCAACAGCTCCTCATCGAAAATACCCGCTGCCCTGGATATCGTGACCGGTGCAGGCTTTGAGGTGAAACAGATATCAAACTGCGTTAACAACCTTAAACCCTACGTCGAGGATGTAACACTGCCCGCCTCACCGTCCAGGTCGAATTCAACAGCTAAGTCGAAGTCTTCAGGCACCTCCTCCTTGACTCCTAAATACTTGGTCGAATTCATAATGGCAACATTAATGTTATCATTCATGATGGTTTGATGGTAAAATAATCTGGTTTCTAAGAAAAAGCAATCAATATTTGCCTTGGTAAAAGGGTTGATACGGAAAGGGTTGGATGCTAATTCACATCATCGCTTAAGTTCTTATATATAAAAAATAAAATTTCATCAATATAATAATATTCCTTGGTTTTTTTTTTTTTTTTGTTTTGGGGTTCTCTCCACTCTTGTATTAAAATACTGTATACTGTATACGTACCGCGTAATAAAATTATAGACCATCATTACCAAAACTCGCATACTGCACTCCACGTGTCAACCTTTATATGGAAAATATTTTGTCGATCAAATGCTAGATTCTACGATCCATATAGGGAATGTTAAAGAAAGACCGCATAGCGCAACCGGCAATAGCTCAGTTGGTAGAGCGGGAGACTGTAGTGAGCATAGTATGCTTGATATTGAGATCTCTAGGTCGCTAGTTCAAATCTGGCTTGCCGGATATCTTTATTTATGTTTTTGTTGTCAGCAGGATCAAGGTCAGGTGATGATATACACCCGGTCATATTTCTTTAACAGAACTTTAAAAAAAAAAACAAACTTTATTTACCGTCACACGTACACATCCTCGATCTTAATGTTAGGTATTATATATAGCTTTGAAATCAAGAGTTGAATATTATCAGACAATTCTATCACGTGACAATTTCATTATTGATGAGTGCTTGTATTGTGAAGGACAAAAGGAGAAATCACAAAGGAAACACAGTAAACACTGCGAGCCAAATAATAATTGATATATTTGTGATAACAAAGGAACTCTATATAAAGGGAGTGTTGTACTTCGAACTGAAAAAAAAAAGTTTTCTCACATGTAAAGTTATGATCGTCGTTAGTAGACGAGTTCAAAATGGTGACTCTATTGATCTAGTCTCACCTACGCCAAGTTCAGTTTCCACAAAGTATGACATCGCCAACAGCAACGACGGTCTCGACCTCACTGACGCGCTTATCTTGACTTTCTCGATTCTGATTGCCTTATTCCTTTACGTGATCATTATTGCCATCATATTCTTGTATTTACGCGATCGCAATAGGCGTCGAGATTACAAGGAGAACTTTGATTCCAAAGGCGTACAAACCGACCTGGCAACCAATTTTATATCATCCCGTAGGGAGTCTTTAAACTCGCAAAGCTCATCTCGGTCGGCTGCCTCAAGCACGACCTCATCGAAAATTCGAAAATCATCTGATTCAACCAAAAAACACGTGTCCATCCAGACTACTCCTCAAGCTTCAACGATAATACCGATGCCTCATGAAACACAAAATTTGGTCGAAAGCGTGACCGAGATCACAAAACCAAATTCCACACAGAAACCACGTCGTATTGTCCCACAGCCTGCAGCGGTGATTCCACCTCCGAAACCGTATCCCATGAACCCACCTCCAAAATGTCCCTCCGTCTTGCCGCAGGAGTGCCCGGTTATAATTATTTCTCCACCCCGGAACTCACTTCAGCTAACAGATGAGAATAATCAACAGAATGAAAAGTTTGCAGACACAGATATCGACGACCAGCAAATATCTAAGACCGACATTCCTCCCTCTACGTTTGCTTCCACATCCACGGCGGTGGCTATGCCTTCCTCTGCCTTAATAAAAAATACCACGATCTCGTCGTATACAGGATACACGGGTAAAGGGAAGGCCCGTGTTTTTTAAGAGCCAGGTGTGCATGTGCTCCTTTTTTTATCACGCGTATTACCGACGAAGATATCCTTCCCATTTCTATCATTCTCTCTTGTTATTTATTCGAATTATCGAGGTGAACGGGCACCTTTAACCATTGCAGTAAAAGGTTAAACGAACGAAATAAATGATGGCTGCTTGAAATCAATGCCGGTGGGTCTCATTAAGTTCCACTTCGATGTCAACATGTTCAGGCGGTTTCTTACATCAATTATCTCGACAACTAAGAATTACAAAACATAAAGGTTTTATTATACTGTATAAGAAATTTCTTATTTTTGTAAGATTAAAATTAAAACAATTACTGTATCTATGTAGTTTTCTTAATTGAAATCAAAAGATGAACTTGAACTATATCAATTTTAAAAATCCTTGTTTTCATCAACTCTAAAGATCGTAAAAAAAGAATTGTTTATTTTTTCTTTTTACTAACTTGCCAAAATTTCTAAATATGAAAACAAAAGAAATAAAAAAGTTCTAAAATTTTTGTTAATTTTTATTAACTTACTTGGATTTTCTAGAATTAATATATTTTCTGAACCAACATTTTTTTCTTAAAAGAAAAAGAAGTAACCACAGTAATTGCTAGCTGTATTAGTAAATCAATTGATTTGCTGCTAATACTATAATTAATCCCCGAAGACTTTACAAGGCATACTTTACAAAAGAAACATTTCAATAATTATTATAAATCAAATATTATGGAAGCTGGCAAACACGTCAAATGTGGAAAAGATATAAAGTAACCTATCTAGAGATCAAGAATAGTTCAATTAAAAAACTTACCTTGAAAATCTCTCGGGTACATATTTGTAATGAGCTTGATGAATAGAAAGAGCTTGAACCAGGTATACGAATAACTAATAAATCTAAGTATTATTCATATTTCTAAAGAAG